TGTCTTCCTGAACATCAGTCCACTTGTGATTTAGAAATCATCAGCTTGTGGATGGTAATTGGATGTAGGCACTTGGATTTCCCATTGCATATCAAAATCTAACTATATGCGAACCAGCCATTTATAATCCCTTTCAACGCTGCATGGCCTCCTCTATTCCACGTGGTTGCTTGAGCTAAAAGGGACTCTAGTGTGCTTCACATGCCGTTCACACATCAACTCCCAGTAAGCATTTTCCAGTAGCATCTCCTCTCTGCATCACTGCTACCACATTTCTATGGTAGACCATGATCATCTTTCACTCCTGCGATGACCGTTCTGACTCGGCTGTCCTTCCCTCCTCAGTACAGTCACCATTTTGAGGCAAAGTGATCTGCAAAAAATCCAAGCTAATTTTAGTAATCTCTTACTTAAAAACCACCAAATGACCAGCTGTTTCTTAACAGGAAGCTTACAATAGTTCTCAGAGACTCTCATTCTCCTCCTGGCTCTTGCTTTCCTCTCCAGCCTCATCTCTCACTATCTTCTTTGGGCCACTCCTCTCTTACAACTTTAAAACTGTTTACCTTCTTTTACTTCTTCAGCTGTGAATGGGTAGCCTGCCTTGGGGCCTTCACATATGCTATGCCTTCTCCCCCAGAACTCTCCTCTGTATTTTGCTTGACTAACACCAACATTCTTATGTTTAGCATAGGATAGGTGCAATTTCATCTAGTGAATTCAGATCTCCCCACCCTGAATGCAGTGCTTCTCCCATGCACTCCCATTGCACGCAGAATTAACCTGATGATCTCCCTTATCCTGTGGAGTTGGAATGGCTTGTCTGTACCATGAGCCCTTTGTGTCACATATTGTCTCCAATATATAATAATAAAGCAGAAGCAGAAGAAGAAAATTCACAATACGACATTGGTGGTAAAATTGACACTAGAATATGAGATCATGGCAATTCCTATTTGCACTTCTGTTAGAGGGGCAGAAAAATATTAAAAAGTGCATGTGTGTGTGTGTGTGTCTCACTGACACAAAAGGGCTGATCATTATTCAAGGCCTATTTTCATTCAATTTATGTCAACAGTTATTTATGTCTGGTTCCCACACTCTGTGCTAGTTAGTGGAGAGCCTGGGTACTGTTCATGGCTCAGACCTTCTGCTCCTAAATAAAAGGCTGGAGGTTTGGGCACACCCAGAGATAGCGCTGAAGAAATGGCTTACCATCTACTTGTAAAACCCTTCCACTGAAAACTCTGTGGAGCACAGTTTTATTCTGTGGCCACACACGGGGTGTCACTGGGAGTCACAGGTGATTCCGCAGCCACCAGTACCAGTTATTAGTAACAGTGATTTCAACAAGCTCCCCCGAGCAGAGGTTCTCACGCTGACTGCACATGAAAGTCACCTAGGGTGAATTGTAAGCTCAATATCCAGGTTACACCCGGAACCAATTACTCTATAAGTCTCTGGGGATGGGGTCTTACAGTGCCCCAAGTCACTATAGTATACAGATAAGGTCAAGCATGAATGGTCTTGTGGAACCTTTGTTCCTGTTAGAATAATATTAATCATGTAATTCAGAACCTTCTAACCTATCAAGAAGGAGGTGTGGCAGTGCAATGGTTACACGTGCAGTTGCTAACCCAATATTTGGGAGATCAAGCCCACCCAGTCCGCCCCAGGTAAAAAGCCTGATGGGCTGCTTCTAGAAGGATTCTGGCCTCAGAAGCCCTGTGGGACAGCTCTACTCTGCCACACAACATCACTGATTTGGGAACCCACTTGACGGCCCCGCACAAGCCCGACAAGAAAGAATGCCGAGGGAACCCGTCTCCTTTCCATGCCGGTAGCAGCACTCTTGCAAGCTCAACTTCTGCACGTGTCTTTGAGGTTAGTTTTTTAAGATAATGCAGACAGTAGAACTAGAACTGTGAAGTTTATGTTGTGCCAGGAGGCTTTTTTTTTTCATTGTCTGTTCACTTTTTATAATGCACGTGCATTCTCCATCATGTCCTTTCCTTTATTCCCATCAGTATCTCTTTCCACCTGCACATTGCTATGAATCACTGTCTGTGGATTCAGTACTCTGAATGCTAGTCAGGCTGAAATAAATGTACTTGACTTACAGTTTATCAAAAAGGACAATATTATATTCTCTCTTATCTTTCACTTTCATGGTTATCTTTTTCTCATTAAGTGTTACCTTTCTGTGTGGAGGTTAGGTTAAACTCATTAGGGCCCATAATTAATTTAGCTTCTAAATGATCACCACCTGCTAACTTCACTTAGACAATCTCCCTTCTTATAAGCCTTTCATGGCTGTCTGAATGGTGGTGTGGGAATCAGACCTTCGTGAGAGTA